TTTTTTTTTTTGTTAATTGTTTCGTGAATTTTGATATTTTCCACTTGTAAATATGTTAGATTTCAAGTGAATTTTCATACTGATTGGAATTCTTTTATTTTCACATAGAACTTTTCACCGTTTCGAATTTCATCTTAACTTTGCTGAAGAAGGTGAAACTCATTTTATAATACTTCATTTTCATCGTAACCGCTTGTGTCTTCAAAACAACTGTTCTATGCAATGAATACATCTGAAATCAGTTCTGACTGATCGCTGTATCTATTGCTGCATATTTTAATGCATTTATACGTCTGATTGCTCAGCCACTCTATCACTTTAAACAAAATTAATTTCAGTCCAAGCGTTGTGGACACTCCTGCTTATGAAAGATTCGGTCTTCCGAAAGCGCAAGCCGCGAAGGTTCGTTCAGTTTGACTTTTCAAAATCTGTTTGATTACTTTATCTTAAATTTCTCAAACTTCGACTTTACTCACAATCAGTGATAATAGAATAATATTTTTTCTGAGCAACTCGTTTATTTCGTTCTTTATTTGTACCAATGTTCGATAAGCATTTTTGCACTTTATCAGAAACACTTTCAGTCATGTGTTTCCTCGTCACAGTTACATTCAAACTGATGTTCCGAATCAGTGTTTCTGGTTGGTTGATAAAAACTGTAATAACCGTGATGAAATCAGTCCATTACATAATACTTAATTTACGATGTTTGGTTTTTCTGCATACGATGATAATAGTAATAACGATAATGAAATTTGTGAAAAATTGCAAAAATGTTCTAGTTGAAACAACATATAGCAAAGACGTCGATTCCGATGGGTGAAGTTGCAAGAGCAGAGAATATAGCGGCGATAATCAAGTTTTTGAGTGATAAAAATCTGTCGAAATGCATCACAGGACAGTCGATCAACGCAGACGGAGGAGCGATGCTGAAGATTGCAATTGCTGATTATGATTGTGACGATATTTTGAGAGCACTTCATTCATAGATCTCGTTTTTTACTTACTTTGGAATGGCTATGATCTTTTGCGTTAATCGGACGTCATTCTACGGCTCTTTTAGTTGTCTCATAACTTCTCTCGTTCGCATCTTGGATGTTTTGAAAACATTTTTCGTTGATATTTTAAGAAATGTCATTTGAACTTCATATGGAGAATATTCATCATCTTTGTTGACCATAAATTCTAGCCATACGATCAATGTGAAACAGTGCGATTTTGCTGACTAATTTTCAGCAACCACAAACCATAAACTATTATTAGGACGTTAATTATAGCAGTTTTTATTTTATTGTTAAAGCATTTCTTGTATGGTCTGATATCACAGGCTAATATTTAAAACGACTGCCTTATTTTCGTTGGGTGTTAGATTGTTTGTAGCATAACTCACAATCTGCTGAAATTCGATTGTACGCATAACATTATTTCGCATTTTCAATTGTCACATTTTGTCGTTGTTGCACTTTCAATTGAAATCATTTTCCATTCGATGTTTGTTCATGACGTACATTTATAAATTGCTGCTCTATTGAACCAATCACCTCAATTGTTTGTTTGTTTGATTTTTGAAAAGATCGTCAAATTTGTTTTTACGAAAGTAATCAAGTGATTCAGATTGTGTTTCTTGTTTATCTACTCAATAAATAATTCATTCAGCAAACGACCAACAGCGATACCTTTATAATCTGATTTTTAACCAAATTCTATATGTTTCTCATTCAATAAACTTATCAGAAACATTTCGCCGGAACTTCCTCAGTTATGAACCATAAAGAATGATTCAAGAAAGCGTATAGTTTGGAATTTTATGATAAACCTTCCTACACAAACTATAATATAATTGGATAAGGTCATCCCTTCTGCCCGAAAGAGTAATCTTTAAAAGCATATGGGTGGTTCATCAATCAGTTTGAATCGATAAAAAATTCATTGTGAACAGACAATGAAGCGAACAACTAACTCATTTCTCGTCGATCTCAATCGGAGAGTACCTCGTTTACTGACAGGTACACAACTAAGCACCCATACTTTAATAAATGATTTTTTGTTCCTATATTCCCACAATCCATAATGATTGTTCGTTCATATGCCATGTTCCATCTCATCATTACTTGTCGCTGTCATCATAAGCCTCTGTCCGTTCTTTCGTCTTTCATTTCGATTTCGATTTCAGTGCTTCGCTCCTATTTCCCGAGATTTTTCGTTTCGGTGAATTACTTTCGAATTCTGCAGAAAACTATATGCTTACGTATTCGTGACTATGAACGCTGTCTGAATTCATACTTAAATGTAGCGTGCTATAAGCTAGCATATTATATCATTTATAATTGCATTCGCTTCTGTTCTCTCAAATAATAGCGCACTTCGTTAGCCAAATCACTTCGCTGAACCTCTCGAAGTTTTCATCAATACCTCTCATTCATTTATACCCAAACTGAGACTTCATCTTCACTCAAAGTAAAGAGAATGTCAATAGAACAAAGTGAATAACAAATTTGAGTGAAGACTCGCTAGGAACGCATTTTTAAATGGGAATAAACATTGAAAGTTCAACGAAAATGTTCACTGTCCCGAATATTGCAAATACCACATTATATTTCATGTAGAAGAAACAGAAACTGAAAATTTTAACTGGAACAGAGACATCACTAATGCCAATCGCTTCCATGCAAACTCCCGTAAAGGAATTCAAACTTTTGAAATATAATACAATAAGCAGTATTTTGACCTATTGCAATCTTGAAAAGTTCACAACAAAAAATCTAGAATGTAAAGGAGAAAGTGGAATGTAAAATTTGATGTGTAGTGGTTGAATTCATTCTTTCTCATCGCGGAATGATTTGTTTCAAACCATGCGTAAAACAAAACATCAATTGGCGACAGTCAGAGTGAAATATGACAGTGGATTACATCTAGGGTGAGACTTAGGTTGAGAATTAAGCCGACGGTAAGATATTTATAAAACCAATAGGTGGTTCTGTCGTACCAGGATGAGTTTTCAATTGAACAAATTAATGGTTTCCCAGTATGAAATTCAGTCCAGGCCTAACGATAAGCTCAAATGTAATCCACAGCCATATCTCTCTGATTATTACCACTCCTAAAGAACAGACGTTTTATTATGTCGAATATGTCGAACTTTTTGAATTCCGAACGCTATCACTTTGGTAGTTTTCAACAACTTTTTCAAGTCTATAGATTGGAAAAACTATCGAGGCGGAATTGTCTACTGCCTAGTTCAGGTAGCAGTTACAATTCCTCATAATGAACGAAAAGTAAATTTAACGATAGCAAGCATTGTAACGATGGTATGTTGTAGGCAAAAATAATTCGTTTCACAATAGGTAAGAGCTAATTGTTAGACATGACGTGATGCAGACCCAATTCTGAGTTCAATGAATCATGAACTTGTTGAGGTAAATAATAATGACTTGTTGGTGCATGTAAGTGAATCATGCAATCATAATCGAGGCAATTAGAATGCAGTGAACTATTTGATGAAAAACCGTGACCAGTTATATTCGCATGAAATCATAATTTTGACTAATTATGCTGATTTCAGCTGAATCATGCGTGTTCGCCCAATGATTTTATCTCCACAGCAACAGCAGCAAAAAACTGGCATTCATTTTCATGTTATTAGATGCAACCACGTGTGACAATTTTTCTTGTCTTTTGAAATTCAGCGAATTTTCTCACGGAAAGTTCAGCCAATACGGGTGTTTACTCCCATTTTCAAGCTACTGTTTGAGTAGAACGAAAAAATAACTGAAAAAAATTTCGTCAATGTGTACGCAGTGTGTCACAAAGAAGTGTTTTATGAATGTATTCTTGATGTATTGCGTGAGTTCTTTAACAAAAACACATTTCTATCAACATGGAGTGATTGAATCGTACTGTTTATTCAGTGCAGCCATCACAGTCATTTGTATCCTCTTCGTGCCT